CCAAGGTTGCCTTGCGAAGAGGGGGAGCGCAGGTAAAGCGGCAGAGGCACCGGGGGATGCAAATGGGCATGCAGAAGCGCACCACCACAAAGTGACATTGCTGCCGCGCCGGTGGGGATGCAGCTGCAGCGGGTGGTGGCACTAATTGCCTTCCCCAGCTCCATCACTCCCCCTTGCCTGTTGCAGGTAGGATACGTGTTAGCACACACTTTCAGGTTATTTCAGGCTGCCCCAAGGCAGGAACTTCCAGAGACAGCCTGTGAGATTCACCTATTTGACCAAAAAATGTTGCTTTGCTTTGGGGGATGAGCATGAGCCCACCCTGGCAGCCACCCCCGACACGAGTGACAGTGGCTGGCCCAGAGGACCATGCCCTCCTCACACCACCGAGCCTAACCACTAAATATTTGGCAATACCCATAAATTGCGCATTCCTGTCCCCAAATCCCCATCATTTGCCTGGATCAGAGCTGCTCAGCAGCAGAGCTGGCACAGACGCCTGCATCGGGGGCTCTGTGGCCCCAGCTCCTAAAATCCTGGGATGGTGGGAGCACCTCTGCTTGCTTTTCCAAAGAAGGACGTTTCCAGCCTTTACAAATGCTCATGGACATGGCTCTAATGCTTCCAGAACAGAAGAGGAAGGAGAGAACCCAACCACATTATTAGCTTTAAATATCTCATGACCTTTTACTGCAAATCTCAAGATCTGAGGCGCAGCCCGCCTCACGGTTCGTTAACATTTCATGTTGTCAGCGCGGCCAGTGGGTTCAATTAGACTTCACGACGGCATCTGCAAATTGCTGGCAACCCACCGGAGGAAATCCTCCCTCGGCCTGGCCGCCAGCTCTGATGCTGCTTAAGAAATACCTTCTGAGCCTTGCCACATTCCCGGGACGTGCACTGAGCTGGTCAGTGCTCAGTGCATGAGATCTCCCCCCAAAAATCGGGAAAAAGGGAAAGCCTGCTCCAGCAAATGCTACAGAGTGGGAGCAAATTGGGTGCAAGACCTGCCCTGGGCTCCCCAGAGATGCTTGGGATGGTGCCTGGCCACCCGCCTGCATCTAGGGGTGAGCGTGCAGACATGCTCGCGGGGAGATCGCATGTGCGAGCATGGCGTTCGCTGCTGTTGCGAGTTAACTGAAGGAGCCTGTAAAACCAGAAACAGGCTATTAGCAATCCATTAGGAAAGGGTATCCAGTTCCAGCCTAGGTAAGCCATTAGAAGAACATCTGAGAGCATTAGGAGAGCTCGCTTGGGGCCAGGATGGGGCTATAAAACAGAAGAGGAAACCACGCTAATCTGGCTTGAATTACAAACTTAAAAGCAGGAGAAAAATAAAGGATACCCTAAACATTTAATGTTTTATATTTAGGAGACAGAAGGGGAGATTCTGCCAAAAGGAGAGAATAAAAAACCTGTTTAGGCTACAAATATCCCATCTCTCTTCTGGCAGCAGAGAAACCACCAGCCCCTCTTCCAGAAAGGGAGGAGCGTGACTTTAAAGTTGCTTGAGTTTCAGAGCGAGGTCAGTGCTGGTGGGGCAGAGGGGAGTTGGTGGCCACCCGATGTGACACGGCTGCATCCCAGGCAGCCGGGAAATGCCCGTGCCCAGGTTTGAGGGAGCCGCTGCAAGGCAGCACGATGGTGCAAGGAGCATCGGGCACACGCCCCGCTGCACGCACATGTGGAAACTCATCATCATCATCATTTCTCCATGATAATAATTCCCAGAGCACATCATCACAATTCCCAGAGCAAACTGCAACACGAGAGCTGCTAAGTGGCCTGAGCGGAAAGGTGCTGCTGAGCAGGGGAAAGGGAGTGGAAACGGCACACTGGGGCTCAAACCCACCTTTGCAAAGCACTGGGAAGGGGATGAGGGTGTCCCCCCGGCTCTGGGCCAACCCCAGATATTGCTTGATGTGTGTGGGGATGCTTGGGCCAAGCATTGCACGGCTCTCTCTGGGGGGGGAACTGCATTTATGGCTAGCTTGCACAGCAGTGGTCTTGATAAGATCCACTGCTCCCGCCACGGATGGCTTCATCTTCTGGTGCCAAGCCCTGGCATTATTAAAATCCTGAAAGGAAGAGCCTGGGAGAAAGCAGACACTGATTGAATCAGGCCCTCCGGTATTCGACAGCTCAACATCCATCTGATCCTATTAGTGCTCATTCGGTCCTGCCTGCCGAGGTGCTGTGCATAAATCAGACCCTGCAAAGATAATGCGAGGTGGAGGGAAGAAAGGGGAGCTGCTTCTTCTGCCAAGAAACACCACGTGCGAGGGGAGCCTGCATGGATACTGCTGGCTCTGGGCAGTCTCTGGGGCTCCCTTGTGGGTTTGCTCCCGCAGGGATGCTGGGCTTCCCACAGGACTGCCAAGGGTGTGGCAGGAGATGCTTAAAGCCCCCAGCCGGTGCATGGGTGGGTTCCCATGAGGACGCAGTGATAGGGCTCAGCGTGGAGACCGTGGGCACACAGGGATGTGCCAGAGCATGAGGTTACCTAGTTCCTCCTGGCTGCTGGCAGATGCTTTTCCTCTCCTCACTGGGCTCCTGAGCTGCCCCGTTGTCAGCAAGCAGGTTGTGTGCAATGACTTTTCCATGCCAGCAAAAGTGGGGAGAGCAAAAGCCAAGATGGGGGCAGCCAAAAGACCTTCACCTCAGCAAGAATTAAGACACCCCCATGCAAGCATAGCACACGTGACCGCTGCATCCTTTCTCAGGGCACTTGCGCCTTCGAGGAGAGACCCAACACCACCACCGTAGGATGAGCTGGATGGCTGAGCTAGGCTTGGCCCTACCAAACCATGTCCTTCCCTCTCCTGGCTGGGTTTGGGGGAACAGGGACACCCCTCAAGATGCCAACAAGCAATAGGTCAAGCAAAGCAGAGCTCAGCGTGGCTTGGGCATGCTCCCAGCCTGCTGACATCGGCGGGTTTCATTTTTGGGTGCAAACCCCTGCATTTGCAGGGTGCCCGGCTGGGCTAAGCAGGCTGAACGTGCCAAAGGGGTCTGGGGTCGGAGCAGCTCTGGAAGCTGCAGCGCTGCCAGCCCCTGGCGTTTGGGAGCTGATTGAATTAGGCTTCGCAAATAATTCATCTGATGAATAGTGGCAGTTTTCCTCAAATCATCCACAAATCAGATTTTTCATTACCCAGCTGGCGGGGCAGAGAGTCAGAAAACAAGGCTGGTACCTCACTCGCTGAATGCTTGCACTTGCTTACAGAGCAAATTATTCCCCAAACACACTTCTCCATCAGCCAGCGATGGGGAACATATCTCTTGCAAGGGGATATTAATTAAAAGCTGTACCCAGGACTGCTGTGCCCTCCCAGGATGCTGGGACATGAGCCCTTCTCAGCTCTCCTTGCACCCACCATGAGGGCTGATACCTCAAGCTCTCTCTGCAGCTCAGGGTATCTTTAAATAGGAGAAATCAAGTTTTTACTGCCCAAGAACTGCCTTTTCCAGCCAGCATGGCCCTGCCACCGGTGTCGCCAACGCCTCCATGTATTTCCCGCCATCGCTGCCTGCCTGAGAGCACGGTTGGAGAAGCCACACCACCCCCTTGGAGGCCCTGCAGCAAGGGGACTGGCATGGCTTGACCCCGCGAATATGACACCTAATACCCAGTGATGGAGGGTCCGGCCACCCTGAGGGTGTTGAGGCAGGAGGCAGCTCACTGGCTCTCCCACCATTTTTGGGTGTAAAACCCTGCATTTGCATGGTGCTTGGCTGGATCAGGCTGCGGCAGGGTAACATCAGCTTTTTCCACAACAGTTTTACACCTTGAAAAAACTGATGTTGTGTCTGGTATTTCCCATTAATTCTTCCCCTTTTTTCACAGCTTCTACAACTCGAGTATTTCTCCCCCAAGTGAAAAAAAATATCCACAGCAAACTCATACTCAAACTCAACCTCTGCTTTCTTACCCCTCGGGATGCTCCACAGATGCTCTCCTGCTCCCAGAAGGGAAGCGAAGGGCAAAGAGACAAGCAAGAAAACCCTTTCCCAACCCTTCTCTGATTTTCAAAGCCATCAGCAAACGCTTCAATCTGAAACACGACCTGTGGCGCTGCCTCATCAAAAAACCCAACCAATGCAAAAAAAAGTCGCCAAGACACCGACATCGTGCAGAGACATGAGCAAAGCCTCCCATCCCCTCTCAGCTGTGTCTCTCCCCAAGAAGAACTGGTGGGCAGAAAACCTCACTTGGCTCCACAACACAGGTGAGCTCCCTGGGGATGGGGTGCTGCCTCCTATTTGTCTTTTTTTTGGGGGGGCCAAAACACTTTATCAAGCAAAGCACCTAATTGGCTTTCAACAGGCCCAGCTTGGTGCAGAGGGGATGCTGGATGAGCCATGCCAGCATAGCAACACCTCTCCTCAAGCAGCAGATTGCTTTCCTTCACAAGCTGAGCATGCAAGCAGCACAGAGGAAAAAAAAAAAAACAAAAAACAAGCCCGTTCGTTATCTTCCTGCAGCTAACAAATGAAAGCTGTCCTCCGGGCTCCCAAGGATTTCACTGACTATTTTTTTTTTAAAGAAACAAGAAATAAAAGTAAGAAATACGATAACATCGCGGCAATCGCTCCGTGGCTGTGCTCTGAGTTACAGCAAGCGGTATTTTATCTTTAGTTCAAAATCTAAATGTGGCAGAGGCACATTTAAATGTGGTGACATTTATACTTTAAATGCCTTTTACATCTCGTTGGCAGATTTTATATAGAACATATGTATGGAAAGTAGATAGGGGCCGTGGATGAAAATGTGGAGCAGGGAGAGCCTGCAGAGCCATTTGTAGGCAGAATGTGAGTTAAAAGAAAGAGAGGAATAGAGAAGGGAGGAGAGACAGAGAAGGAGAGGAAAAGGGTCTGGGTTGCCTGGGAGGTAAATTGACATTTTTTTTGGTCCCCAATCACTTGGTCCTAGTGCAACTTGTTCCCAGCCACCAGCTCCCCCTGCTCCCTCCCGTCCCAGCCAGCTCAGCATCGCTTACGTGTTGCCACTGGTCCAGGATGAGAGGCCGATACCGCAGGAAGAACTTGAGTGGGAAAGACTCGGGGTCCGGCCAGGACGAGGGGTTTTGCCATGACACCTCCAGCCTCCGAGGGTTATTGGGCACAGGTTTGGCGACCACGCTCTCTGGAGGGTCCGGCTTTACTGGAAGAGAAGAGGGTGGCTGGTAAAGCTCTGCACGTGGCATCCTTCCTTACACCCCTCGGCAGAGCTGGGTGGGTTTTGCGCCGTGTGCTTTCCAAGGGGAGCAGCAGAACATCCTTTTCCCGAACTAATTAGATGCAAATCACCTTTTCTTGTCCAGGCCAGTGGTACGGCTGTCCTGGCTCAAAATAACCACTGTCAAGGAGGTGCCAGTTCTGGAGACACACAGAAACAACCTGGCCAGGGCAGAGAGCATCCCTCCTCCCCAGGGCTACTTGGGCCAAGGTGAGGAGCCCACCAAGCCCAAATCCTGCACTTTCCTCGCACCTCCTGATTTTTGGGAGGCTGACCCACATTCAAACCTGCTTACCTCGCAGTAACGTGGCAGAGTTTGGCCCTTCGGTTTAGGGCTGGAGTTTGGGGGATTCAGAGCATTGGCACATCATATTTGCCAAGGGCGAAGGACTGCCATGGTCACCTTCCACCCCAGGTATCTCTCTCTCAGCCCTGCTCTGCTTTTGGGATACGGGGTTATTTTCTTGCTACCTGACAAGTATTTCAAGTGAATATTAATTGGCTGTGAGCTATGCAACGTGCTTTGAAGTTGCAGTGACTTTTAGAGTGCTGGGAGAAAATCACAGACAGGCTGTGATGAACGGCATTGCCTGTTGCAGAGAGAGCCTTGCTCCTCGCCAAGGGTCTTCTCAACTCCCGACAGCTCAAACTCCCAATTTGCAATAGGAGAGCTACAAAAAGACTGAGATTTGGGTACACCCACGCTTTTCCTTTTCTCACGGCCAGGAAGGAGCTGGGCATGGGGAGCTGGGCACACAGCTGTGCCTGGGGTGGGAGAGGGCTCTCTGTGCACTCTAAGAATAGCAATGCACATGAGTCCTCATGTCCTGGGAGGGCTCTCAACCCCCTCCAAAGTCCACGTGCAGGCCAATGGATCCCTCCTGGCCTGAAAATCTCTGGATTGAGTAATGGTCCTCTGGCTCTGACCACCGCGAGCAGCAGCTTGTGAAGGTGCCAGCCCTGAACTCCATTCCCAAGCATGGAGGAGGGATGCTGGGGCCGTGGGGAGCCCCTCTCTGCTGGGCAGAGCTCCTGCTCTGCACTCAGAGGTCTTCTCCTCCATGCTGACCCCAGGGGATCACCTGCTGCAGGTGGGAGGTGATGTCCACAGAGGGGCTTTGCTTCCCATGGGAGATGAAGGAGGTGCCGGTGATGAGTGAGTTGCTCCCTTGCCCACCTGCATGCCGGCTGCCTGCAGCCCTGCCCTATGCATGAAGGGCATCTCTCCCTCTGCTTGAAGCTGTATGGGACCAGGTGCTGATGTGGGACCAGTCTGCTGCAAGTGGAGTCGTGCGTGTGCTATTCGCTGCCATCTCTGCTCCAGGATGATGGTGGCATTGCAGCAACTGTCCTCAGGAAGACATCCTCCCTGCACCACCACTTCTTGCTCCTCTTAGGAGAAATGAGCCTCTGTGTCTTTCAAATCTGCTCTCTTGGCTGTGGGTGAGGCAGAGGGGAGCCACTGAAATGAAGCCGCAGCCCAACCACCTTGGTGGGACCCAGAATTGGCCCTGTTCCCTCCGAGACATAGCCCACCACCACCTCCCTCTCCCCAGCCCTCCTGCTCAGCACCCTGGCACACACTCTGCTGCAGTCCTCCTGCACTGTCATCTTCACCACCACCCCAACAGCCTCTCCTGTCTCTCATCGCCTTCCCTCTGCTGTGGTGGGTACAAGGAGGGCTGGACAGCTTCCTCCACCCCCACTGCACCCAGCGCTCAGAGGATGCTCCCGGAGGCTCGGTGAGCGGCTGGTGAGCAAGCACTCATGGTCCTGACCACAGGTGCCCAGTGCCACCTCCCAGTTCCCATAGACCCCTCTCTGCAGCAGGACAGGACACAATTTTCCATTTAGAGCTTTATCCTTGGTGGGAGGGACGAGTTGCTGGGGCTGCGCTATGCTGAGCTACTCCAGATGGCTGTGCAATTCCTCTGCTTGCCTCGAATCCCTGGGCTCGGGCTGGACATCAGCTTCCATCGACAGGGACTTGGAGTCCAAATGCATATGGAAAAATATAAATCCAGCACTGGCTCAGTGGGCTGGGTTTGCAAAACAAAAGTCTGTTTGGCTGAACGAATGCAGATGACTGTGAACTGCAGCTCTGCAGTGAGGAAGTGGGAAGGAAAGTGCTGGACTGGGGATGGACACGATGGGGTACTCCCTGGGGTAATGCAGGGAGCCTGGTCCTGCTTTTTGGCATGCCAGCCTGGAGCCACAGCAGAGAGATGCTTAAATGCAGTTGTGCCAACAGGGCACATGTGCTTGGGCAGCAGTGAGAGATGCCACTGTGGTGGGTTGGAGGAAAGCAAAAAAAAAAGCTGCCCTGATGCTGAGGTGGGAGTCACCTGCGCGTTTTGCAGGGATGTTACCCCCAGCTCCGCTCCTGTGGGTTGGAGACTGTCCCAGGAGGGCTGCCCTGGCTCTGAGCAAGCACGGCAGAGCCCAGCCATCCAAGGGAGCTGTGCTCCTGGCTGTGGCGAGCCTTCAAAAGGCGCTGAGGGTTAATGGGAAAACCAGCAGCCCCTGCTACCTCCCCATGTGTCCCGCCATCCACGGGATTCCTGCCCAGGCTAGAAAGAGCAGCAGTGCCAGCCCCTCCAAAAGCACAAAGCCAAAGCTGTTCCTGCCACGTCCCTCCAAAGTGGCAGGGATGCAAGAGCCGGGAGAGGGGACCACACCTCCGTCAGCCAGTCCAGTCAGGACAGACATATGTCTCTTAGGACAGACCTCATTACGCTGTGTTCATCATGGGAAACATTGTGGCTGGTCCTGCAGGGGCCAGTTGAGGAGCAAGGGGAGACAGGCTGTGTCCAGCTCCCCGATTTCTGTGTGACCTTGAAGGAATCATTTATCCTCTGCAGCCTTCCAGGTCCCTGCTCCGCACACAGGGATGAGCGCTCCTCCTTCCCCAGCCTTTGTCTGCCTCCATTTAGCCCACACATGGCAAGGCAGGGTCTGTCTGGCTGTACATCAGCCAGCATAATAGAGCCCTGTCCTCGGTGAGGGCTTGCAGGCAGTAACGTAATAAAAGCAATAATAGCAATAATAATGGACGATGGGCATTAGGCTGAGCACTGGTTAAGCGGCTACAAAACCAGATGTAATATTATCCCGCAGAGCTGAGGGAGCATCTCCAGACATTCCTGGGAAGGGGACTTGGCTGGGAGGCAGCTCACAGCTCTTCCCGCTTGGTTTTCGGCTGCTGCATCCAAGCAAGGGCTCGGTGTGCGAGGAGAGCCGCGGAAAGCGGCTTTTCGTAAACGCTCTGCACGCTCACGCTTAACAGCGAGTCTTTAGCTATCCATCACCCCTGGCTCTTGTTAGACACATCTCGAAATGAAGCCTGCAGTTCAGAAAGGCAGCTGAGACCCCGCAGCACGGAGGGGCCCATTGCCCATCCCGTCTCTCCCATGAGCGCTAAAATGGATCCCTTGCGGCCGTTAAATATCCCCTGGCATTTTCCATGAGCAGAGGGATATTAAACTCCATGTCTTAGCCAAATGTCAGTCTAGGTAATTTAATTCTGCCTCCCTAAGTAGTATGAATTGAACTGACCTTCTGCCTAGGCAACTGTATACCCGTGTTCAGAGACTCTGAATTTTGTACAGACATAGGCACGTTTGTCCTCACGCAGCCCCTCCGAGATGCTCTGCGTCTTAATCACCGCAGAGCCAGAGCTGGGAGGATCAAACAATCTTCCCAAGGTCACACAAGGGATGGGTGGCAAATCTGGGGAATGCACCCATGCCTGCAAGGCCCTGTTCAAGGCTGCCTTCCTCCCTTTAATGCTGTGCATCTTCGCCTGCTAATTTGCCCCAGGCTCACACAAGGAGAAAGGTGCTGAGGTGAGATGCCGGTGTTGCTCCGTGGCGGCGATGTCCCTGCTTTCCTGGGGGATGCACGTGCCGGCTATCTGGTTCTTGGGCTGAAACACAAGCGAGGAAGGTGGGGTTCTGTCCTGGAGGGCCGTAAACATCCCTACTCTGTCCCAGTCGTCACGAGGGAAGCGCACAGCTCCCGACTCACCACCTCACTCCTCCCCGGCACCTCTTTCTGCCTCCAAGCCTTCTTCTCTCCAGCTTCTCCAGCCCCTTTCCCACCGCCTCCTGCCTTGGGCTGGAGCCCTGATGTCTGCAGGACTTTGCAGAGCCTAGCCCTCCCCACGCTCACCTTTATTAATATCGATACCTTTGCAGAAGACGTAATTATGAAAACAATTTCCAGGAGTGCGATGGGGAGGAGGGCAGCCTGGATCCCTTGCCTATGAGAGATGGGGGCCAGAGGGCTGGAAAACCTCTTCCAGTCATCACTGAAAATGGAAATGCAGAGCGACCCCTCACAGCTGGCTGCTAATAACCAGCACAGCACAACTGCCAGCAAGGCATGGGCTCAGGATAGCAAAAGAAAGTACCAGTCATTTTCCACTCAATTAGAGCCCATCTTCCGAGCGGCTGGGGAAGGGATTTTCTGCTGGAGGCTCCAGGGAGGGAGGAAGGAGAGAAGAAGCAAAACCAAAGGAGGTCAGTCCTTCCCAGGGGACTGTTTGTGTTTGCCCAGGCTGGGTGGGTGGTCTGACTCTGCTCCTGGCTCAGCTGCCACCAGGAGGGAGAGCTGCTGGCCCCGTGCTGCTCTCATGTTGGCAGCAAGCAATGAGATCAGGGCTTCAAGCCTGGGGTTTAACCTCCATGCAGAAGGTGTGATGGTTTTCTCTAGGCTAAGTGGAAAACACAAGGCAGGTTCTGACATCCCCAGCCTTGGATTTTAGAAGCAGCATCATGCAGTCGCTTGTTGACACCGTCTCTCCATTTTAGCAGGATGCGTGCACATGTCGCAATGCTCCGATGCAGCATTTTTCCAATGACCCGATGCAATGGCTTTGTGCTAAGCCATGGGTTTTCCACTCCTCCATCCAGCAGAGCGAAACCCAGCACAACTTCCAAGATGAGATCCCAGCCTAGCTGATGCTGGTAGAGATCCCCAGGGAACCTAGTGGGTGCTAGATCCAGACTGCCAGCACCCACCATGCTGGGACACAGCCCCAGGCTTGCAGCTGCAGAGAAGAGAGCCAGAAGAGACACTGAAATGCAGAAGCTTCTGGAAGGAGAGCAGGCAACCTGCGGTAAAATTGCCTGGCAAAATACACTAATGCAGTGCACTTGTTTTAATTGGAAACACTGGGACGGCACAAGGAGAAGCTCCGTTCAGGGTAGGTGGCTGTTGATCGGCAGCAGCTGAGTTCACCCTGTAACGACTCTGCTAAGCCTGTCGACTGCTTGCTTGAACACTCAATCACCACCGCATCTATGCTTCTTATGCACGGCAGCCGTACCAAATCCTGAAGAGGATAATTTCATAGCTGTACAGAACGTGGAGATTTTAAGGTCACTAGATATTGAAGGGTTTATGGGAGCGGGCTGGCTCTGGGGTGCAGGAGACAGCCCTTCCTATCGGCACTGGCCCATCGTCCCTTCCCTGAGTGCCGTCCCGCAGGGGGTTAGAGCATCTGCCAGGTGCTGCCGGGGGGTCCCACCTCCCACCACAACCACCGGGATGTGGCCAGGCACCCTGCCACCGCTCCGGGCACTCGTGGAAGAGGAAGTGATATCGCACCCGTGCTAATGGCTGGCCTGGGGCAGCGCTGGCCTCCGCTCACCGCTCCTCTGACCTGGGCTGAGTTGAAACTGCTGGGCTGGATCCGGCTTGTGCTGGTGCCGGGATGCCCGGGTCTCGCAGCTGGGTGTGCTTCCCAGGGGGGTTGCCCTTGTGTGCTGGATGGAGGACCAGATGTTTGGGAAGCCAGGCAGGGCATGGGTGGGATGCAGATGTTACAGGATGATGCCCTGAACTCCTGCAGGAGGGAATGCAAGGAACTTGGAAAATGCAGCTTAATTGCTGCCCTGGGCCCTGCAGGCTGGAGGTTACCTTCATTTTTAAGGAGTGTATCTTCCACAAACACAACAATTTCCATTTAAAGGCACCCAAGTGACTGAAACTCCACCACTTCCCTGCTAAGCTCCTTGCCTTGTTATCAACATTCGCAATGCACCAACAAATATAAGCTTCAGATATGGACCATGGCTGCAGGGACACGGCAGGACAGCCCCTGCTCCAAAACAATTTCCCTGCTCTGTTCAGAGCTAGCACCTTGTTTCTTGTTTGATGTTTTCCAGGATTTGGGGTAGAAAGGGAAAATCTAGGATAGCAGTGGAGCTCCTCTTCTTGTACTTCGGCACTTCCAGACGCTTGGGACTGGGACATGCAGCACATCGAAGGCAAAGACTGACTGCTGGCTGCACTTCAAGGATTCATTTATTTGTTTTTCTAGTCCAGTAATTGCCACATGTAACCAGCAAATTGTTTTTTGACGTGTTCCTGAACTCTATTCTCTCCCATTTTTCCTGTTCTTCGAGGATGGGCAGTCTTGTCATGGCACCAGCTGTAATCCGGCTTTGGCTAGTGGCAAAAGCGCTGTGCCCAGCTCCCTGCTTTGCTGTGCTTGGCACTGAATCGCTCAGTCCACGCCGGCCCTTCACAGTCAGAGGAGCACCCATGCTGCGGGTCCGGACGTGGCCAGGCAGCATCCCTGCGGCACAACCGGCCGCACAGACACGCCGGCGCCCGGGGCCCGCTGCTCTCTGTCCCACATTGCACGGCATCTGCTGCCTGGGTAGGGCAGTGAAGAGGTGCAAAGCAAGGAATAGGGTTTTTAGGAGCATGTTAGGTAAGGGTTGGTGGAGGATGACTTTGGGAGGGCTTTATCCTGACTAAGGGTGGGGGCAAGATGATGGGACATTTTAATTTCTCTTCCAATCCTAATTCCCATGACTTTGCTTCCAGCACAAACACCAAACCTCTCTTTTAGGAACACTCACACGGGCAAGAAGGTCAACGCCATTTGGACCACACCAGTTTCACACCCCAGTACTTGGCAGCCACTTCCCCAGCTCCCAAGCAGGGAGGAGCTGAGCAACCACGGGAGACCTGGACCACTGGGGATGGGACCAGGCAGGGCACCAGGCCACTGACGGGACCAGCATGGGGGCTGCCTGTGGGCATCCTGCCTGGCTCCCCCAGGATGCTCAGGTGCCGGCATCAGTTAGGGCAGGGCCATGAGAATCAGGGGGGGCACGGGGAGGATGCCAGTGTGGCTCAGACCCTGGCTCCATCTCATGCATGGATAGGCAGAGGCTCCACTTGGAGAGCCCGCCCCTTCCCTGGCCCATTGCTCTGGTGGGCGACGCTGTGTGCAGAGCAAGCCAACCCCAACACCGTCTCAAAGAGGCCAGTTGCCGCCGTGGAAGTTACCTATGGCGAACTCGTCAAAGGTGAGAGTGGTGGAGTTTTTGCCCAGAGCATTCGTGACTGTCAGAGTCACCTTGTACTTCACCGTCGAGAAGAGCTGGAGGTATCTGATGTGACACCTGTTTTTGGGAAAGACATCCTTCTCACAGACCATCTCTCTCGTGCCGTGTCTGGAAAGCAGAGGTGAGAAGAGCTGTTACCTATGGAGCGGTGCTTGGGGTCGGGGATGATGCCATGCCATGGCCAGGTCTAAGTGAGGGACATTGCTGCTGCCTGGCCACAGCCAGCATATGGCAGAAGGGAGCATGGTTGTGCCAAATGCACCAAAAAACAGTGGGCACAACCTTCACTGTGGACAAGTGGTGCAAAGAGGATGGACTTGAGGGGCATGGAAAGGGGACCTGGGAGCTGGGGACTTTCCTGGTCCCCTCTGGGGAAATTGGAACTTCACTGGGACAAAGCCCGAGTGTCAAGCATCCAGTTTGGATGTCCCTGGATCATCCTTCCCCAGGCCCATTTTTGGGACACCAATCCCGTATGCTCAGCCCAGGTCAGACCCACTGCCCCAACACTTCACGGCACTACTTGGGATCTGCTCCAGGCTGCAGGGACAAAAACTCACCCCAGTGCACCCTTCCTTCCCAGGCACTTACACGACGGAGATGTTGAAGGAGTTGGGGATGTAGGTGGGAGTAGGCAGGTGCCAGCTGCAGTAGAAACCCTTCGGGTAGTTGTTGGACCGGCACATCAGCACTGGGTCCTTCGGCGGGGCTGCCAGGGAAAGAGAAAGAGCAATTACCCATTGAGGTGAGGTTATCACCAGGTCCTGAACAAGGGGATGTCCCTCCACTCTCAACAGCAGCCAGCTCAGGAGGGGACACAGTTTGCAAGTGGAGCCTGGTCTGTGTTTATCAGCTGCCTGAAGCATCCAGGGGCCCTTGTCCCATGTCTGCTGCTGAGGTCCCCGTGAGATCTTGCCTTGGACTGGGCTGCGCACAGCAGCTCACCTTCTTCCCTGGCAGCTCACCAGCTCTAATGCGAGATGGAGTGGCAGAGGAGATTGGCAGGTACCGGGGGAAATTGTCTTCAGGGCTGCGACAGAGACGTCGTTGATGGGGAGGAGGTGCTGCTCTCTTGACCCTATTAAGCTACAGCGCTTACAGCTTTCTCTGCCATGTCCCTGGGGAGGGATAAACTTGTTGAGGGATGATCCTCCAAAAGACCAGAGGTCCTCGAAGGGAGGAAGAAGGACTGCTTATGGCAAGATGAGGAGGAACAACCTGAAACCAGCAGAGAAAATTCAGCTCTGCAGGAGGACTGGCAGTGTTAACGCTTTCAGCAGTGGGGTAGAGCATCCCATCCTAGGGCCCTGCCTCCCAAGAGCCATGGAGGTAACTGGAGATAGGACGCCAGCATGCAGCGGGGAGCAGCCTTCCTCTGGCCTCGTCAGCCGGTCCTAGGGGTTAGAGGCAGAAGAGGATTTTAAACCCAACCAAGTGTTGACACTGCACTCAGCTTTCCCAGCCACACGTGCACTCTGTGCTCTTTGCAGGAGCAGACAGAGCTGCAGGAAGACTCTGCAAAATGCCAAGGGGCTGGTGCGTGCAGGAGGATGAGATGTGACACCTTTCAGCTGATAAATTTTGCTCTTGTAGGTTGGTAAAAATCTTATCTGACACTGAATTCAACTCCTCTCAGAACCTGGACACTTTCATTGCTAAGAGCAGAGTTTGGCTCTAACTGGAGGACTTTGGCACAGTACCTTGCCATAAAATACACTCCCTGGGCTGGGTGTGCACCAGGGTTCCCTTGGAAAGGCTGTCTGAACCTGTGG